TACATCTGTGTGAAGACTCAGGACTGGCCATGAACAGCCCTGAGTCCCTAGCCCGGTTCGGCCACTGCCTGGTTGTGTGACACAAGGTCAGAGTGACTCTGATCTTCAGTGTCTTAATCTGCAAGGTCAAAAGTTTGGACAGGATTAAACCTCCATCTTGCAGGCTCCGTCCATATAGATTTTGGCTCTGCTTCATACTTGTGTTATTATTTGCTTATTAGACTTTGTGTTAAAAGAAAACTTCCTATCACTACTATCAATATCTTATGTTGGAGGTAACAACAACCAGGAGAATGGAAACCAAACAGTGTTAATAGAATTCTTGCCAAATCCTGCAACCTGCCCAGGCTCAGTGTCTGGACACTTAGAGACTTCATGAAGAAGGGAAATGAGCACATGCTGGAGAGATGGTAACAACACAGTAGCACTCAAATGAGACATTCTGCACTCTCTCAGAAGGCCATGGGTGTTGAGAGCACATGAGTGCATCAGTGTCCTTTAGTGCTGTGTGTGTGGGTAGCCCTTGGCCATTGGGGGTGCCCCTGGCACCCATTCCTCACTTTGGAAAACACTGGACTGGATCTGAGACCTGGAAGGGACCTTAAAGATCACTGTCCCACCTGTCCTTTAGTAGATGAATGAGCTGAGCCGGTGTGGAAACGGCTGCCCACGCCCTTGACCCTGACAGTGAAAGATCCATGCCTGGGTCTGCTTGTGCCGTGGCAGGAAAAACCCCTGAAATGTGGAGAGCTCCAGCAGTGTGACTGGGGACCTTTGCCCCAACCCCGACCAGACCACTTAGAAACTGCCTGCGTGGACGGTAGCCAGGACTTTTATACTAAGCTCAATTCTAATATCTGGGAGTGTTTTTTGGACTTGCTCTCAGCAGGCCAGGCACTTTTTTTTTTCTTTCTTTCTTTCTTTTTTTTTTTTTTTTTTTTTTAAGAACAGGGTATGTCACTTACAATAGCCTCCAGTCCCTTCAGAACACTCAGGCTCCGCCAGAACACTTGGTTTGTGCTGTCTGATCCTCTTCCTTCATGTTGGTCAGAAGTAGTAACAAACGTGTAGTGAGAACAGCAAGTACCATTTCAGAGCCAAAAAGGAGTTTGGGGTGTGGATTATATACTTTGAAAACAAAACAAAACAACAGCTTTTTTGAAGCATAATTGACATAACAGAAACCACTGAACGTATTTAATGTATATAACTTGGTGGGTTTGGAGAAAGGAATATACCCGTGAAACCACTACAAACCAAGGTAATAAAAATCTTGGATAAAAATAAAAAATAAAAAAATTAATAATAAATAAAAACAAGAAAATAAACATTTATTTCCTAAAATAAAAAGTTTCTGCCTGACCCCCCTCCCACATTTTTGGTGGTAAGAACACCCAGTGTCATGTCAGCTGTGGGCTTGTCATATACGGCCTTTATTATGTTGAGGTGGATTATAATTTTAGAGGTTTAATAACCCAGAAAAAAGGTGGGTAGCAAAGAAAATGTTTTGTTCCACATGGAGATTGTACCAAATAACAACCAAAATGTTTGGTTCGACGTGAAGATTTTATGAGATTGTCAAAGAGTTTAAAACAATAAAATAGAGTGTCTTAAGTCCTGATCCCAAAAACAAAACAGATTACTGTGTAAGTTATTTAGAGAGCAAGACAAGGCCTCGTAGGCACTAGAATCTTTTTGTTGTCCTTGCTAGATTTGTCCTTGAATTAAAATCCATGCTTCTCGGGGTTCCTGGGCGGCTCAGTTGGTTAAGTATCTACCTTTGAGATGAACCATGAGAGACTATGGACTCTGAGAAACAAACAGGGTTTTGGGGGGGGGATTGGTTAGCCGGGTGATGAATATTAAGGAGGGCACGTACTGCATGGAGCACTGGGTGTTATACAAAAACAATGGATCATGGATCACCACATCAAAAACCAATGATGTATTGTATGGTGACTAACATAACATAATAAAATTAAAAAGAAAAAAAAAAGTATCTGCCTTTGGTTAGGTTGTGTTCCCGGGGTCTTAGGATCAAGCCCCAGGTCCCCAGGTCCCTTGGGCTCCCTGCTCAGCGGGGAGCCTGCTTCTCCCTCTGCCCCTCCCCCTGCTTGTGCTCGCTCGCTCGCTCTCAAATAAATAAAATCTTAAAAAAAAATTAAATTCCATCCTTCTTCCCTCAATCCCGATCACCTTCCCTTATCTCCTTACAAATGGATAAACTAAGCTAGTGGTCCTCAACTTTGGCTGTAAATTAGATTACTTGGGAACTTTAAAAATCCTGAGTCCCAGGCCACCCCCCAGACCAATGAAATCTGTGCCTCCAGAGTAGGGTCAGGTATGGGTAGTTTCTAAAGCTCCGCAGGGACCGACGTGCAGCCAGCATTGAGAACAGCTGCTCCAAACAACTATGCAGAACGTCTTCGCTGTCCTTTCTCACAAGTAAGAGTAGCATAAACTATTGCACATATCAAAGCTCTGTGGCTTTACCTGTGAAATTCTTACTCTGCTGGCAAGACAGTTTGTTAGCTAAACACCTATTCATCCAGTTCTCCTCCGACACTTTGTAGGAGAGAGGCCAAGAGGGGCACCTGGGTGGCTCAGTCGGTTAAGTGTCTGCCTTCTGCTCAGGTCATGATCTCCAGGTCCTGGGATTGAGCCCCATGTCAGGCTCCAGCCCCATGTCGGGCTCCAGCGCCATGTCGGACTCCCTGCTTGGCTAGGAGTCCGCTGCTCTCTCTTCTCGTCCCTCCCACCTCTCCCCCACCCCCAGCTTGTGCTCTTTCTCTCAAATAAATAAATAAAATCTTAAAAAAAAAAAAAAAAAGGAGAGGCCAAGATTCTCCCCATGATCACTATCACCTTAATTGTAATCTGAGAAACAGCTGCTTACGGACTCCCAGGAAGGTAACAGCTCGGGCTCACAGTGTTCCTTGGCATTGAGTAACTCACACAAGGTCACAGAGGGCAAGTGTGATTCTGGGGAAGTGAGCAAAGTGAGGGGGGACTGCTAGGCACTAAGGAATCCAAATCTAGTAAATCAAGTGGGAAAATAAGCCAGAACCACCAGATCCCTCCTGGTGGTCTTACCAGAACATACTTGCTTCTCCCTTTCCCCTCTCGGGGAAGCCAAGCATCTGCAACTGAAGGCAAACCTGTAGCATCTGCTGCAATAAGTTAGTTCGGAATATTTATTTATTTATTTATTTATTTATTTATTTATATTTTATTTTAGTTCAGAAAATTTAAATGAATATTGGAAATGTTAAACATTAAGCCCACCAGACCATGCTGTGTATCCTTTGGGATTCATTGGTGCTGAAAATGACATGACAAAAATAAGGGGGGAAATTCCATTATGTTACATGTGAGGTCATCAGGGACCTGGCTCTGCCTTCTCCCTGGTTTCACCAGTCACTTTGATCAGTCACTCATTCACTCATTTATCTCCGTTATCACATATCTACCAAGTGCCCACTGTGCCTAATGCTATTGGACTAGATGCTGGTGATCCAGTAGAGTGAAGGCAATGCGTTCTTGGCTCTCCAAAGCTTACCACCCACTCAGAGAGGTGAACAAGGTAAGGGCAATTACTTTCCACACCAGGAAAGGTGTATAAGAAACAATCTTTCTTCCTTTCTTTCTTTCTTTCTTTCTTTCTTTCTTTCTTTCTTTCTTTCTTTCTTTCTTTCTTTCTCTTTCTTTCTTTCTGTCTTTTTTTAAAGATTTTAATATTTGACAGAGAGAGACACAGTGAGAGAGGGAACACGAGCAGGGGGAGTGGGAGAGGGAGAAGCAGGCTTCCGCCGAGCAGGGAGCCCGATGCGGGGCTTGATCCCAGGACCCCAGGATCATGACCTGAGCTGAAGGCAGACGCCTAACGACTGAGCCACCCAGGCACCCCGAAACAAACCATTTCTCCATTCAGAGTCACCCAGGCCCAGTCAGCGGCCCGTGGCCCACTGTGCACTCTGCACATGTTCGTGAGATGGGCGCAGGTGCCGGGGCTGACCAGGAACACCTCTGCTGTGGTGGCCGCCGGCCCCGGACCTACAGCCCTTGTCCAGGGGACTGGCGTTTAACTAGTTGGAATGCCTTCTCTTCCCCTGTAGCAAAGCCTCTGGGACACTGATTAGTAACCAGAATGTGTTTGGTGGACAGAGATGCAGGAGAAAAAGGGAGCTTGTGGGCGCCTAGAGGCCAGCTGGGTGAACCAGGTCTGCTGGGGGCACCAAATACCCAGGTAGCCGAGCCCCAGTGCTCTCACTCTGCTCCTTTCCTGGAATTCGCTCAGGTTCTTGTCTTCCCATTATGACTGCAACTCTGTTGCAGTTCACCAGAACACAGTTTATTCTATGGTGGCTACATTTTAATCTCTGTGATGGATTTGAAATACAGCCTGGTTGCCACCGAGGCTTAGAGTACCCACCAAGTATTGTTTTTATGTTTTGTGTCATCTCTTAGGTGGGTTTCTTTTCTGCCTGTGATACTCTCTCCCAAGATAGGTTGATGCTTACTAGTTTCTTCTTTTTTTTAAAGATTTTATTTGTTTATTTATTTATTTGAGAGAGAGAGAATGAGAGACAGAGAGCACAAGAGGGAAGAGGGCAGAGGGAGAAGCAGACCCCCTGCCGAGCAGGGAGCCCGATGCGGGACTCGATCCCGGGACTCCAGGATCATGACCTGAGCCGAAGGCAGTCGCTTAACCAACTGAGCCACCCAGGTTCCCGATGCTTACTAGTTTCAAGGGGTGGTGTTTTTGACCTTGTACCAAATTCTGGGGCTTTCCTGATCACAGGGGTGGGGGGGGGGGTGTTCTTTCCAGGTGAAAACAACTAAGCTTCAAAGGGCTTGTGGCTGATAGGAACTTCCCATCTGAAGTTATAAGCCCTGTGCTTGAATCAGCACGTATTTTGTCTGAATTACAATCAAATGCTTTTTCTCTTCTGCCCCAGTGAGTTTAATTTTTTTTTTCTTCTCCACTGTTTCTTTCGTAGGGGTTCAGCTATTGCAAAAATAATTGGTAATAATGTCAAGAAACTTAAGAAGTTTGCCTCCACAGTTAAGATGTGGGTCTTTGAAGAAACGGTTAATGGGAGAAAACTGACAGACATCATAAATAATGACCATGAAAATGTAAAATATCTCCCTGGACACAAGCTGCCAGAAAATGTGGTAAGACTTTGGGACAGGAAGTACTTTTGGTTAATTCTGAAAGTAACACTTGGCTGAGTTAGCACTTGGGGCTTGGGGAAATGGAAAAGCTACCTCCCTCCTCATTTTTCCCTTTCTACTGCCAACTAATTTGCTTGGTCAGTTTTGGTTTTCCTGATTCTGAAGATGGGCTTTGTGTTAGTTTGCTAGGGCTGCCATAACAAAGTACAATAGAACAGATGGCTTAGACAACAGAGATGTATTTTCTCACAGTTCTGGAAGCTTCAAGTCCCAGATAAGGGTGTTGGCAAGTTTGCTTTCTTCTGAGGCTCTCTCTTTGACTTGTAGGTGGTCGTCTTCTTCCTGTGTCTTCATACTATCTTCATTCTGTGTATCCGTGTCCTAATCTATTCTTCTTCTTCTTCCTTTTTTTTTTTTTTTTTTTTGCTATAGATTTATTCATTTGAGAGAGCGCACACGCAGGAGCTGGGGGGGGGGAGGGGCAGAGGGAGAGGGAGAAGCAGGCTCCCAGCTGAGCAGGGAGTCCCATGCGGGGTTTGATCCCAGGACCCGGAAATCATGACCTGAGGTGAATGCAGATGCTTAACTGACTGAGCCACCCAGGTGCCCCGATCTCCTCTCATAAGGATACGAGTCATGTTGAATTAGGGCCCACCCTAATGTCCTCATTTTAATGTAATAACCTCTGTAAAGACCCTGTCTCCAAATACAGTATTCCAAGGTACTAGGGTTAGGATATCAACTTATGGGGCGCCTGGGTGGCTCAGTCGGTTAAGCGTCTGCATTCGGCTCAGGTCATGATCCCAGAGTCCTGGGATCGAGCCCCGCATCGGGCCCCCTGCTCCGCGGGAAGCCTGCTTCTCCCTCTCCCACTCCCCCTGCTTGTGTTCCCTTTCTTGCTGTGTCTCTGTCTGTCAAATGAATAAATACAATCTTAAAAAAAAAAAAAGGATATCAACTTATAAAATTGGGGTAGGGGGCACGGCACACAATTCAGCCCACAGCAGGCTACTTTCTTGGCATTCAAGGTGCTGGTCCCATCAGAGCTGGAACTCACAGCCTTGCCTTCGGCTGCTTGTGACCCCCAGTCCTGATATTCCCTTTCTACACACAAGAACAGCTAATGTACTAGTCTGTAATTAAAATCAGGGTTAAGGCCTAAATTACAGAAGGAGACTGAAGAAAATAGAAGATTGTAAGACTGACAGTTTAAAATTTAAGCTTATTAGGTCTGAGAGGGAAAAATACAGGTAATTGCTTGGCCTCATTCCAGTGACTTGCCAGAGGTGGGAGGGAGAAATGAGCAAGAAGAATAAAAAGAGTGTACCGTGCTGCTTGTGTGAGTGGAATTTGAACTTCTGTTGCCAGATTCACCCCTTGGTGGCTTTCTGTAGTAAGTCTGTTTGAAGACCGGACCATTGTGGTCTGATTCCCTGCCTGATTCCTTGGTTAACCGGACAAACTCATCTTCTTTGTTTATGAAATATTCATTTCTGCATATATTCACTCATCAATCTTTATGAGCATGTACAGTGCATGCAAAGCACAGTGTTCGTTGCTGGAGACAAGAAGAGGGGTAAAATGACGTTTCTTCCTTCAAGGAGTCCAGCAGGGGAGACGGATTTGGAAACTGATAAGTGCCAGGAAGTCCGGATTTGCAAAGACCTTGCTCGCTGGAGATTGCTGTTTGGCTTTTGGTTACAGGGTTCATTAGTGTCAAGCGCTGTGCTAAGTAGCTCACATATCTTTTCTCGTGTAATGCTCTCAATAACCGTCTTAGGTTGATACTGCTAGTTTTCCTATTACGAGGATGATTCTGATTTTGTAGGGAAGGATACCAAGGCCCAGAGAAGTTAATGAACTTGCCTGGGGTCCCATAGCTAGAGGCTGGGGTTTGAATTTGATTCCTAGCGAGCTCATCCCGTTGAATCTCTTGTCTTCTGGACAAATGATCACTTTCTCCTCTGTGTCACTGCACTGGGGGTCAGGCAGCATTTCTGCAGTCATTCTCGGCATTGTTGGTGGGGAGAGAAAGGATCCCTATGGTTCTGAGCTTAGAAGTTAAGTTGTCCAAATATCCGAGGGGAGGAACAAAGGGAGCGGCTATTCCCACTGCAGTGGAAGGCTTCTGAGGTCATCTCTGACCCCTGCTTGGAGTAGGAAATTCGTGCGTTCCAACTTCTCATTCTTTTTTTTTTTTTTAAAGATTTTATTTATTTATTTGACAGAGAGAGACACAGCGAGAGAGGGAACACAAGCAGGGGGAGTGGAAGAGGGAGAAGCAGGCTTCCCGCAGAGCAGGGAGCCCGATGTGGGGCTCGATCCCAGGACCCTGGGATCATGACCCGAGCCGAAGGCAGACGCTTAATGACTGAGCCACCCAGGCGCCCCTCAACTTCTCATTCTTGTTGGACTCAATGCTTTGTTAAATACGTTCCTTCCACTCTGCTTTGTGCCAGTCCCTTATGTACCTACCTGTTCAGCCCCACTTGCCCCGAGTGTGTGAACCTGACTTTCTGGTTTTTTGGTCTTCCATGGTTCCTGGCGCAGTACCCAGTGGGGCGGGGGACCTGCCAGCTGGTTCTGTGAAGCTGAAGCTTGTGACGGGAGCAGGGGAGCCAGGAGGGAAGGAGGCAGGGAAAGAATTGACATAGAGGAGCCAACAGCCATTGCCACTCAGAGCCCAGTGCCCACACTGATTCCACCACCTGCTCCATGTCCCTGGGTGTGGACAGAGGGAGGAGAAAAAGGAGGAACTGTCCACTCCCAGGACCCTGTTGATGTCTGAAGCCTTGTAGGTTCACAAAAGTGAACGTATCCATTCTCTGGAATGGACCTTTGCGTGGTTTCCAGCTGTTTGTTGTCATGGACCTTGTTCCCAGGGGGTAGAATCGCAGGGTCACTGGGAACGCACGGCTGAAATGTCACCATGTCACACCACTCGTTTCCAGAGCGGCTGTATCAGTCTACACTCCCCCAGCACGTCTGAGGGTTCACGTTGTTCCACATGCTTACCCGTGCTTGGCAGAGGATACCTGGGGTGCTAGAAAGTTTTATTTCTTAAGCTGGTGGAAGGTACACAGGTGGTTTTTTTCTCTATACTTCTTACAGTTTTGAACTGCACTCAGAAAATGTTGCATAATAAAGATGGTGGTGAAGTGTAGTGGTGGAGGGACTCCCTGGGAGTCAGGGCTTGGTGCTCACTGAGTGAGCATGGTCAGACGGATGGCTATTCTTTTTTTTTTTTTTTATTCTTGTTAATCCCCATACATTACATCATTAGTTCTAGATGAAGTGTTCCATGATTCATTGTTTGTGCATAACACCCAGTGCTCCATGCAGAATGTGCCCTCCTCAATACCCACCACCAGGCCAACCCATCCTCCCACCCCCCTCCCCTCTAGAACCCCCAGTTTGTTTTTCAGAGTCCATCATCTCCCATGGTTCATCTACCCCTCCGATTTCCCCCGCTTCATTCTTCCCCTCCCGCTACCTTCTTCTTCTTCTTTTTTTCTTAACATATATTGCATTATTTGTTTCAGAGGTACAGATCTGAGATTCAACAGTCTTGCACAATTCACAGCGCTTACCAGAGCACATACCCTCCCCAGTGTCTATCACCCAGTCACCCCGCCCCTCCCACCCCACCCCCCACTCCAACAACACTCAGTTTGTTTCCTGCGATTAAGAATTCCTCATATCAGTGAGATCATATGATACATGTCTTTCTCTGTTTGACTTATTTCACTCAACATAATACCCTCCAGTTCCATCCACGTCATTGCAAATGGCAAGATCTCATTCCTTTTGATGGCTGCATAATATTCCATTGTATATATATACCACCTCTTCTTTATCCATTCATCTGTCGATGGACATCTTGGCTCTTTCCACAGTTTGGCTATTGTGGACATTGCTGCTATAAACATCGGGGTGCACGTACCCCTTCGGATCCCTACTTTTGTATCTTTGGGGTAAATACCCAGTAGTGCAATTGCTGGATCATATGGTAACTCTATTTTCAACTTTTTGAGGAACCTCCATACAGTTTTCCAGAGTGGCTGCACCAGCTTGCATTCCCACCAACAGTGTAGGAGGGTCCCCTTTCTCCGCATCCCCGCCAACATCTGTCATTTCCTGACTTGTTAACGGATGGCTATTCTTAGTGCTTTATTACCCTTAGGCGTTTTGTGAGAAGTAAATGAGGTGATCCATATATATATTTGGTTTCCTGTGAAGTATTTTTTTTTAAGAGCTGGGGATTTGTTTTTGTTGTTGTTTTTTTCTTTAGTTTTATATGTTTATTTCAGTTTTTCGGCTATCTCATTTGGTCCTTTAAAAAATCAACTAGTGTTAGATAAGACCCTTAATCGTCATGAGAGACATGTTGCATTTCCATCCACATAGGATTGCTATTTGTGATGTCTGTCAGTTGGTGTGCTGATGTGAGACTGTGAGTCTTTCTTGCTCGGGGCCCCCACGCTGTTTCCCACTGACCTTCTTCATGCCCATCCTCATCAGGTGACTCCCTCCCCCTTCCCCCAACCTCTTGTAACAGTGATATCACCATGTCATCACCTGTTGACTAAAAGCTGGGACAATCTGGGTTTGCAGTTTTCTCTGAAACCTGAGCGGAAAGAACGCTTCCCTTTTCTTGCCACTGTTGGATGTAAATCATTGATCCTGTTTTGTAGCTGTCTGTCTAGGGTCTCAACCAGGTAGAGCACTCCTGTGCCTTCTCGCTGCAGGTTTAACCAGCCTCAGCGTGGCGCCAGGATTTACGATCACAGCATCTTCTGTGAAATACCATTGTATTGTTTCTCATCTTGCTTTCTAAACCTTACCAACTCTTTTTAAAACAACTTGACTGAGGTCCGATTCACAGATCATACAATTCACCCATTCAAGTGTACAAGTCAGTGGTTTTGAGTATATTCAGAGTTGTGCAAACATTACCACCATCAATTTTAAAATATTTTCATCACCCCAAAAAGAAACCC